TTCTCCTGTTACCTTCCAGGATATAGCGAGGCGGTCCATTGCAAACTCTCCAGTCAAGATAAACAAACAAAGAGGTAGGTTATCTGGCTACAGCACTTGATGTGAAAATGTTTTGAATTATATAATATTCAATATCTTTAGTATTCAAGAAAGCAACAAACTGCACTCTCATTTCAAGAATATTATCATCTAGTTTTAGAATGCTGAAATGTTTTAAGACATAAGTAAACTTGTAAATATGAGCCCTAAAAGTTAAGGAATCAAAGAATAAGTCCTTGCAAATCAGGTGTATCAATTTTTTTTTAAAAAATATATAATATAAATGAATTTAAGGCTGAAGTGCTAATTTTTCTAAATTACAGGCCATTTTGACCGTTTGACAGCAGTCATATGTTCGTTTAAGTTTTTGGGCTTATCCTTTTACCCTTATACCAGCTACTTTATGTATTGTGCCTAATTTTAAATTTAAGGTTAATAAAAGATAATTTGGATACATGGTTTGTCACAACTTTAAAGTCTTAATTGTAGATGTTAATTGAAATTAAATAGTAATTCACTTACAGAATTCGCATGAATTGGTGGAAACACTTCTTACTTATGATTTCATATTCTTTCCATAAACATATTTGCCACCTTACTTTCTACAGAGTCCCGATCGAATTCTATGGGTGCAGTGTTCATGACGTGTGGCCATTCTGTCATCAGTGAACATGAAACCAATGACCAAGTCTCTCTCAAAGCGCCTCGTTCTAGGACTTTGACAGCACCCTCTCTCATAAGAACTACAACTACTGTTACTGCTACTTCTTCAAGAACAGGAACATTATTATGCAAATCTCCTTCTTCACTTAATAATCCAAATGAACCATTAATATTACCCTTACCCCCAATACCCTGTCCCTCTCCACCATCCATCCCCATCTTTCCAACAACTCCAACTCCTGCTCCTGTCTCAGTCACTGACACCACGACAGAAGTGTCAATGCAACTTTCCAGTCAGAGAGGCAGCCTGGCAGACAGTGAGATGAATCCATTGCCTAGGAATGTTGCTGAGGGGAGTGATGAAGATGAAGTTCTAGGAACAAATATACCAAGGGGGTCAGTGGGGCTACCATCCACATCACAGTCAGATGGGAATCTTTGTGTGCGGGCAAGACGAGTAGTCCTTTTAGATGAGGAACAACAGCAGCAGCAGCAGGATCACAGTCAACATCGTCACCACCATCACCATCGTCATAATCACAGTTACCATGGACAACAGCAACAGCACTGTTGTGCAAGGTTTGGAAGTGGTGACAGTGGCAGTAGCAAACATCGTCTACACAGCAACTCTTGTGTTCTAGTGTGAACATGTGCAAGCATTCACCATACATTCATAACTTAACCAAAATTGGATTTATTTCCATGACAAGAAGGCAGTTTCCAAAGTAACCCTTTCCAGAATATAATGTTCAAAATGCAATAATGTACCAATGAAACTTAATGAAATAATTTGTTGAGCTTTTATATAGCATTTTCCTTCTACTATACTTGTAATTGACAAAGGCATTCAATTATATTCAACTTCTGTAATAATTTGTGGGTGTGCTGTTGGTAACAGATATTCTTCTGTAGGTTCAATTGGAAAATTCTGTTACTAACAAGACAGCTAAACAATTTTGTTCGTTGTTAATCTGGGCTGCATTTGTATCACTGCAGTTATTTGTATGCCAGATCTTGTTTCAGTGAAGTTGTAGTGGAGTTGTAATATGGTGGGCTGAATATTGTGCATTTGAAAAGTAGTATGAATATTTTTAAATTATCTGGAAAAGAATTAGGATGACATCTCAGTCTATTTTATGCAGGAGAATAATAATTTTAAAATATCATGCAATAATATTCTTGAAGGATGTGAATGGAACAATTGAGGAACAGAGATCTAGTGCCCATAAACCATCTTACAAAGACTTTTGCCTGTCTTCCATCTTTAAATCTCTTCATAATATGGCTGAAATATCTGGTGTTATTTCTGTGAATGTTATAATGGGCTCATGTGTATATGTTTCCCATTTGTTTTATTTGAATTACATTGAAACACATTTGAAATTTAATTACATAATGTTAAGCAATCCAAAACCTTGTTCTCAAGTTACACGTAATTTTCAAGAAGACTTATTTAATTTTATGGATACTATTAGAAATGTTCACATTATTTATGTCTGGCTCTTCAGTGTTTCATAAAGGAAATTCACATTTTAAATATTTTATATTATGTTGATTTTGGGGTGTATGTTCAAAATTTTTGTGTTATTTCAGTTAAAAATTTTGGTGTTGCTTCTGTTAAAATAACATTTTAAATATATCTGTGGTTTTGGTGATTTCATGTAAGGAAATTGTTAATAAGTTCTGTAAGATATTGAGTTCACAGTCACCCACTAGTATGAACAGATTCATTTATGGTTTTATGACTCTTAAGAGGGTTGTACTCAGAGGAAACTATTTTCATGAAATTGGTTTCGTAAAATTGGAAACTATGGTTATATTGAAAAAAGCTGTTGTTTTAAATTTGAGGTCATACACTGAGTCAAATGAATTGAATGTCGCATGATGTTCTAATCTGTTACAGTAAGTCCTCTGTATCTGTCAGTAATTAGTCCCTTATAAATTAGTTGAATAAGGAAATGTAAATTTCAGAAGTATTGAATCGTGTGTTGAAATGATAATTTGTTCCTGGGGAAATCAAATAATTGACCATCAGACTAATATTATGGGTAAATAAGCACACAAATTTGGAATAGTTTAATAATTTATTAATTGCATATTTTATATATTCCAATATGCATGAAATTAAATTTTAAGAAAATAATTACTATTTAATAAATTTATTGAAGAAACTTAAAGTGCAGAAGTTGATGGATGTGAATTACTCATCATCCTGAAATAGGATTCTAGTGTTAGTTTGATTCCAGCCTTCTTCATTTCAGGGAAGATGTCCTTGTAGCAATGAAGATCAGCTACCACAATTCTGATGACTGCTTATTTTCCAGCTTCAAAATCAGCAATAATTTTTTATTTCCAAAGTTGTAAATATTGATGGCCTCTTGGCTTTCTTAATTGATTGCACAGATATGGGCACTGATTATATTGTAAAATAAACAAATGAGGAAAAAATCATTAGCATTTGCAAAATATGAAGGTCCTGTTGCTAGACCGATGTCTGCAGTGCAACTAATGAATGCTAGATGATTAAAAAGTTGACACTGGTGACAGCTATGGAAACAATGATGTTAAAGAGTAACCAGGCAATATGAGAAGCAATAAATTCAGGGTTGACAGAAAACAAGGGCTTACTATATAGAGAAAATAATCTTCCCATACTTTAATTTTTTCCTGTAATTTATTTCATGAAATTAAGTTATCTTATATAATACAGAACTAAAAGATTACATCTTGGAACTATAAAACTATGGAAGCATTAGGCCTACTAGTACTTTAATACATGTTTGCCTTTCATATTGGTTTTGGTGTATAGTGAGAAAATTGTCATGGTGATATTATCTTGCCGGCATGTCTCATCAGTGTACTATGAAACAAGTAATATAAATGCAACTAAGAGTGTCTTCAGAAACATTTCATTACTGACATGATCTTTAGGATCACTCATTATATCACTCTTTGTTGCTAATTATTTTTAAGAGAACAGTTATTGTGCAATATTCTGAAACTCATAAACTCTGGAAATGTCTGTCTTTAGCACTGATTTAAATACAACTTTCAAGTTGGCTATTTGAATGGTACTGTACTTAATGGATGTTTTTTACACCTGTAATATGTCATAATCCAAAAGAAAACACTCCAAAAATAAGTAAATATCTGTATCCATTTTAAAAATGTAAAAGCATATGGTGAAACATTTTAAAATATGATACACTAGACAAAATACAGTTTAATTTTGATAAAATTATAATACAAAATTAGTAGCATTCCAAAATTGAATGGTATCTTAAGGCTCCTATCAGTATATTTCTTCTTCAGAATATTTCAATAAGAAACATTTTCCTAGTGTATAATATATTGCCTTGTACGCTTTAATCATTAATTCAATGCAGAAGTATTGCTGGCAATACTTTAAATGGTGTATTGAATTGTGAATGTTAAATTCCACATGGAACACACAGTGATTCACTCATTAACAAAACTGAGATCTGCCCTGTCAAAAGAAGGATATCACATATCTTCAAATCAAATTTTTGTACTAATTCTTTTTTTCTCTCCAAAATTAGGGTATGTAATGCTGGCATTTGCATTGATTTAGAAATACTGACCACGATTGCTGCTAAAGAATGTTCTAATTTTTATAAAAAATGCACACATTTAGCAATAGGTATATTTAATCCCTTTAAGTTATGCACATTTATACATGCATGATGTTGTTCTACATAGAGAATGTGTGTATGACCTTTGATATTAACATTTTCTAATGTTTTAATTTATTTATAGCTTTGAAATGTAAGGAACTATAAAGATGTAAAATTGATAAAGTATTAGTAAAGATACATAAAGTAACTAAAGAGACCCTCTGGTGTACTGGATATTAATTCTATTCTCACATTACTGGTCACAAGAGAAGCTTCATTGTGTTCATTCACAATGGAAACTTAAAATCTTATATAGTTTTTCATGTTGTATTATTACATATTAGTCTACATTTTGTAATGTTATTATTATTAGTTAATCCACAAAAATACATAAAAATCTAAGAATTTCTCCCAGCATCAGAACAGTTTTTGGTGGCTATTATAAAAATGATTGTGGGGAATAATGTTTACTCTGCCCTACCCCTGGTGCAGATATGGTATAAAAATATATTCTGGAGTAAATTTGAACTTCAGTTTTATGACATTCAAATGGAAGAAATAAATCTCTATTAAGGTGGTACACACATCTCAACATGACAAACCAGCATGTAGGATTAATAGAGTACTATCTAGTTCTAGTTATTTGGACAGTTCACATGTGTATATGTTTCATGTGGAATTTTATATATTATGTTTTAAATGTTCAGTATTTTGATTATTTGTACAGAGACAATATGCTATAAATGTTGTTAGGTATTTATTTTATTACCAGTGACATGATATTCTTGACTGTGTTGTACACCTTACAACTGTGTAGTATCTACGTTAGTGGTTAGATAATGGCCAATAATTCTATTTTCAAATACTCACATTCTGTAGTGTTGTTATTGAGCATAAAGTTATCTATACTGTCCATAGGTTGTTTATATCCTTTTCTGTTCCTTTTATGGTTGATTTTACTGCTTCTGTTTCAGATAGCCAGAATGTTTATAAGCAATTTCCTGCCAGTCTGCATCTGAAGATAAAGGCGTGATTTCTAGGTAATGGGAACACAGGACTTTAGAATTCTGAAAGTTTGCTATGTAGCCTAGATTATTTTCCAAACTGCAACTGCAATGTAAACATTGACATATAAGAATATCCATAAAATGGATGAAAAGAACAAGAACCAGTACATGAGTATGGCTGTCTTCAGTGTTGTTGCATGCCATGTAATTAGGTAGACTATACAGTGCAACAACCTACGAGGCAGCTGTCTTAATATTCACCACTCTGAGAACCTGAGATCCCAACCAGAACATGATTCCTAACACCTTTAATTTTTAATACAGCAGTTAATGCATAAAGTACCTAAGCCTTTCCTCCTGAAAAGTTTACTGCCATAATTGTGGATTATAGAATCGGACGTTGCACATGAATGTGCCATGGAACAGAGAATTTATAACTCTAAAATATTCTAATGGTGGTGTGGCATATTAAATATTGTTTTCCTGGAAAAATTCATTGTTTAGTATGCCTACTCTATTGGGTATCTCCTAGCAGACCCAACAGAGTAGGTTTTATCACCTGAATATGGGGGCAGAGTAGCCTCTGAAACATTGCGGCTTCATTTTAATATACAAAATATGGATTTAGTCCAGAAAAAGAAAAATGTTGAAGAGAATTTGTGTTTACTACTTTGTGTTGCAGTTCCTATCTGTAAGACAGTGGGGTGATGGGGATATAATATTTGGCATAATATCAGGCAGCTGTTTTCACTTTAGCTTTAATCTGAGCTCCATGAGACTTGGCAGGTAAGGTGGTTTGTTGGTTTCAAACATTCCTACACAAGGAGCAAAACGACACAATGCCAAGTATAAGATCAATAGGCCTACATAACCTAAGAAACAAATAACCACAAATTAATTTCTTGTGCCAGCTACTGGTATATTTTTCGCTTTTCTCTTGAACACAGAAGGTAATTTTGTCGTCGGTCTTGCGAGAAGAAGGTGCTTTCAGAATTAATTGAAATATTCTTTGGACGATGTTCGTGAATTACGAATGGAACTGATGCAGTGACCAAGACGGGATGGATGCAAGACTAATACGGGCGTCTTAAGTGCTACTGATAGAGTAGAAGAAATAGAATCTTTCCACAACAGGTAAGGTAAATATAAATAAAATATTTGTTTTGAGTTCCCTCATGAAACTGCAGCAATGGTGTCAGAACATCTACCAGCAAATGACGGATAAGTGGTCACCGTATTGTAAAAGTTATCAACAGAAGAAAATTATATCATTGCCAGCGGGTGTGATTGAGAGATTTTAATTACGAACAGGAAATCGTTGTTATCTGAAGGTTTTTGCGGCTGGAGTTCAGTGTGTAACTTCGGCTTTGGGCGTCAATGTTGAGTATTAATGTTTCGCAAACATTGCAGTTGCCATCTTCAAGGTGGATGTGTAGGTGGGCAAGTTCTGGAAGCTTTATATAGGGCAGGCCATAGGTGGTGTGTAAGATTTAATGGTTTTGGTTGGTGGAGTGGAGGAGTGGTCTGCTATTCAATGAGCAAGGACCATGTGGAAATTTCTTTTATGAACACCTCTTTTCAATACCATATTCATAAAAGAATTTCTCACTTACTCATCTCCCATTGGATAGTGGCCCATTCCTGTGTTCCACCAATCAGCACCATCAACTCTAACTCGCTACGTATGGCTTGCCCTATAAAAAGCTTCCAGAACTTGTTTCATGTACCCTGACTGAGCTTACATGATTTTCCTCAGTTGTAAGGCAAATGCCATGGTATAATTCAAAAGGGGCAAGGCTCACCCTCACCAGCCATGGAGGCCTTTCTACTGAAGTGATTTCCCCCAAGTCACAGTGGCCAGAGACATCCTACCAAAATTCTTCATCACATCAGGAATGGTTGAACTGGTATATGTTGCTGCCACTCTGTAATCTATCTAAGAAGGAAATGAAAATCACATAGATGTTCTTGCTTCAAAGAAAGGAGCAGTAGTCTGAATTAAATACTTTAATTCCCATTAGCAGCAATTTATACTGAGTGTACCCTTGGTATCAACTGAAGAGGACTGTGGGTAGGTCCCAAAATCATATGTAGACTTGGATACTTTATTTACTGTATAAGACATTTTATTTGTTTATTTTGCTTTGTTATTCAGTAACCTCACTCACGTACTGTTTTTGATTACAAAAGGATGTATGCTATGCGCGCGCACGCATGATATATATATATATATATATATAGGGTAGTGGTATACTATTGTAAAGTGAAGTGTTACTCTGATTTTGGAAGTAGTCCAGCATATGTTGGGTGAACATTGATAGGAACTAGTATATTAAGAATATAAATAAATGTGTCTTATATAAAGCACAACTTTTATTAAAAATAAATATGTACATGTACATTTTCTTCAGTTACATATTACGTAGCATCAAAGGGGTTAAGGCAGGAATAATATAAATAGATACAATTGAGTAGGATATATAATTAAATAATTATCTCTACACAGCAGCAGGTCTTGTAAATTTGTGCATGAATGGACCTGTTTATGCATGTCTGGCCAGGACATGTTGTATAGAGATGGATAGATTAAAATAGAATTTATTTACACTCCATAGATCATTCATAGGCCTAAGCCAATGATGTAGAACATGTCATAGCACAAATATAATACTAATTTTTAACACAAATATAAATTACATAGTTATGATTACAGGCAGCTACAGTACTAAGATGGCTGTCTTCTGGGTTGTTGTGCCATGCAGTCTGGTAGAAGTTTACCAACAGCAGTTAGTGCCTGATGATTGAGGCAGCAGGACCTCTGAAACGTCTGTAAACTTCTATCAGACTACATGGCACAACAACCTAGAAGACAGCCGTCTTCAGACTAACAATCGTGAAAACCTCAAATCCTAACTACAGAATTACTGCAGAAATAATTGCACAAGAATGATGTAGCATATATATATATATATGTTCATTTACTTTATTAGTGATTCTGAAATGCTTTTACTTTGTAACATTTTTATAAAGTAAAATTCCAGTTGCATCTTATAGTTTAAACTTTCAAATAAAGCTTTTAATTTGAGACTGTATTAAATAACACTGATTGCAAAGTAATATTGAAGTTAATGAGTGAAATGTGAAGTTACAAACTGGCACTTTGTGAAGTTTATGTTATCACAATAATAAAAAAACTGCACTTATCACAGTATTTACTTTTATTTATACAGAAGCCTTTCCCTGCCTTGTGGCATCATCAGTGTTTACCCATATAAGCCGAGATCCACATCAGCACAACAATTTATGTTGTTGGGGAGTTGAGGTTCTCACAGCAGTGAAGATGTTGATGGCGATTGTCTGGTTTCTGACACCATATGGATTTCTAGGTAGGAATCAGAATTTTGGAGGAATGTGGGTACCTTCCTACTTGTCCGCACATTATTACAGCTCAAAAGGCAACCATAAATGTTTATTATGTATTACTTGCACAAGTTGTATAAAATAAATTAATAATGGGAAGTTTATCTGTCTACACATTTTATCTCAGAAATTCCTGAAAAAATTTTTGATTAAGTTTGGTTGTCAGATGAATTTACTTTTCAGTTCATATTGGTCTAGCATAAGTCCTACTTTGAAGATGCACTTTATAATTTTTCTCAAAAGTTATTTGCATTAAAAATATATTGGTATTCCTAAATGCCATACAAAATAGATGTTATTAAGGCAGGCAACTTTTATTTAAACATGTTTCAGTCTGGTAAGTATTTAATAGAATATGACGAATAAAATTTTTTATTTTATGCTGCGATAATTTGTAGTGTGATTGTCTTTGCACCGACATGTTTATATTTGGAACAAATCAAGACCAACAAGGCATGCAGATTTTCAAAGAAAGCTCATGTCAAATAAGAAGTATTCCAATTTATATTAACTATCGATTCTGTATTTTCCCTAATTTACCAGACTACATCAGAAATTACTTCATAATGACCAGTACCAAAAAAATATGCCAGGAATCTTGCATAAAGTGAATTGCATTTTGCTGGTTTAAGTGTTGATAGAGCTGTCCATAGTCTCTTGAGCTGTGTTGGTGTCAGTTCATGGACTGTGATGAGATGGTGATACAGACATGGATGTTCGACAAATCGGGGTCGATCATTATGGAATCTCGGTATATTTATCAGAGGAATTCCAAGGCTTTTAGTAGCAACTAAACCTGTGAGGAAAACATCTTCTAATGGTAGAAGAGGGGTGTCTAAAGCTTTATAATATACTTCTGACACAGCTTTCTGTGTCATAACATATCCTGTACCAGAGGCAAAGGTAGGGAAACTTGTTGCTTCATATAACCAGTATGGTATATACCATTTAGATGATCTGTCTCGATATGGTATGGACCCTTCTTGTATTCTTCCTATGATTAGTGGCTCGTAAGGCTTGTACCTGTCGTCTTTTAACTCGTGTAGAAGTGCCTGGATGTTTATGAGCATATCATCATCTGTCTTCAACACAAATGGCACTGATCTGCAGTGGTTCATAGCCCACTTCAACATGAATACGCTCTTGAGTGTCAGGTTGTGATAACTGTCGATGAAATCCTCCACAACGATGTCACCATATTTTTCAACTTCTGACAACACTAATTTCTGTAACAAAATATTTAGGATTACTGCATTTTAGATTAATATAAATAATTATGTTGGGGGTTATGAAGTCTCTGCTTTATTACTTCTGTTTTATAATTTCGAAAATACGTAGTGACAGAATTGGTGGTTATTTCTGAGAGTTCTTCAAAGACAAACAGGCATATGAAATTTTTAATCCTTTGTCAGAGAGAGAATTAGAAAGGATAGTAGCAGAGTAGGTGCAAATATGGGGAAAGTATATGACAAGTGTCTAAATAATATTTAAAAATTCAGTTCCTGCCTCAGAGAAAACTTGACGTGTCTCCTCTACAAAATATATTTGGTTAATGGTGTTTAGGGAAATAGTAATTGCCTATTCTGAGAGTCATAAGAAAAGTTGGTTTATTGACACAGTGTGGTCTCTCACCATTGTTTGTGGAGGCCACCCATCACCATCGTGCCCGAGAAAGAAGAGCAATCTGGTGTCAGGTACAGGTGCAACATAGCCCCACGTATCCCTGACAGCCTGTCTTTGTTCTCTGTTGCCTGGAGCTGAGGTCACAAGAATCAGAAGGCGCAGTCTGTCACTGCATGATATTTCTGGACCCAGGAGCGTTGTTCCAACATCAGGCAGTACATACTGTCTCACATCTCGATTTTCTTGTAGCCATTCAAATTTTTCGTCCACTTGAGGTTGTCCAGTGTCTGGTGCTCTGCTAACAGTCCACCGTAGCTGGAGGCTCAGACAAAGACACAGAGCGATAATGCAGACTCCAATTCCTGAAATTTAAAACAGTCATCATCTTGTGAGATTAGAGAATTTATGGCGGTGTGAGTATAGATGCTGGTCTTGTCAATTGTTGATGCTCCATGTAGGTTTTAGGTGATATCGCTTCAGCCCTGAAGGTGGAAATAGTTTTCCCCTCCCTCCAAGGCATTTGTATAAGGCCAGAAAACTACATTGTGCAATGACCCAGAAGACGACTATATTCATGATTATGCCTAATTACATGTTCCTAAGCCCTTTTCTGTCTTGAAGATGGAGGTAATATGTCCCTCCGAAACGTTGGTAACCATTTGCAATGCAATAGGCGTAACAATGTAATGCTATAAGAGTGGTCATCACTTTTTCGTTCTATGTTTGTTCAGTCATGCACTATTTTTTATAGTTTGTGTTTTCATCTGTTTCCACATGCCACACATTCATCTTTCTTTCCTTGTCTGATCATGAACAACTTTCGTCAGTCCAGTTATTTTACGAGGTTGATACGATTATTGTGGATATAAGTCTCGTCTTCGTATGCTTCAATTCGACTGGCTACTTCTTGAGCGCAGTCAAATAGAATACGCGCATTTATTTCAGTTTCTTCTCTCCCGTTTGTCTGCTTCTCCATACGTTAGCCCTAACTATTTCTCGACTCTGACCTTAAACTGATCTGGCGACAGATAAGATGACAAAAACTCAGCTGGCTAATCAGTTGGTCATTCAAAACATTCTACTGTGTTGTCGATTCTTCAGAAAGCAGAAACAGTACTGACATTGCCAAACAAAGTTGGCAGGGGACAGTGAGGCTATAAGACGCTAATCGCTTTCCGTTAGTAAGCAGAATGTCACCACTGCCCCAGCCTGCTTATACTTTTTTATTTTAATATCATTAGAAATGGTTGGGCTGTGATAACTTCGATCAATTTCTATTTGGACTTAATTCGTATTAACAGTCGTTGCGTGAACTTCACCACTCACCTCCATCTAGTGCCGAGGCTAATCCGTGGAGCTATATCTCCACTCCCCCATGCGTGTGCATGGCTGGTACATATTTAAGAACCAGATACAACTTTACTTTATACCTTTTTTATTTGCCCAGCATGATGTGAAATAAAATTGCCCGATAAATTAGTGTAAGCCCCCTCCTAGCAAAATGAAACAAAACCTCGTCAAATCTGTTAGGAGTCGAAACTTTAAAACTAACAAACATGACATCTCCATGATGCATTTTTCTTCCACAGCTTTAAAACAACGCATGGTAAGTTTAAACCCTCTCCACAATACAGAGAGCTCTAAATCTATCCGCAGTCATCACGGTTCGTGGATTATAATGTTACTGGCCAATTTACTACAATCAAGAGGACTGCTAGTTATTATCTCCTAGACTATAAACTGCCATGATCTCAAGGTTAGTCTCAATTGCTTGGCTGGTTGTGCGATGAATACTTAGTTCATACGATTTCAAGCAGACACTCTTACAGAACACGATTCGTAAAATAAAAAAAAAACCAAGGACATAATTTTTTAAGATCCTTCACACTTCATTAGTTGAGCACCGAAAAAAGATTTTTAAGTCTGCGGTCGTTAAGTAAAGCCCGAGGGAAAGCAGGAAACACTTGAATTTGTTAGACCATGCCGAGCAGTCTTTATTGTGCAAGTTGGAAAACTTTGTTAGGTTATGTCCGCCCGTCTCAACGCATGAAACAGCTGTAACCTTTGACTGTTTCTTTATTTAAATTTGATGTAATTTATTTTGTTGACACATACCAATTTTGGTTAAAATCGGACAGCAATAAGAGATTGCATGAAGTCCAGGCGCGTTTTTGCCTCCATCTTGAGAGCGTAACTCGCGCGAACACACACACACGCCCCCATATACATATTTGTGTAAGGGAAAGGTGTTCCGGACAAAGCTTGTAGAGAATATAACAGACAGACAGTTTATGCACATGCATTTTTTCCTAACTTGAGAACCGTTGGCTTTTTTTCTTCAAATTGTGTTGAACGTAATTTCTAGGCTGCATTACCCAACTTAAGTTATTTGTATAAATAAATGTTTGTAGAACCCAAACCATTTGTGATATGTAAAATCTTATATGGAAAGCTCAAGACGTAATACGTATTTCGTACGCAATATGTCCAGATCCATCTCTTACGGCTTTCGAGAGGCGGGCGCTTAACGCGCCAGATGCATTGAAAATTGTACACATTGGTTCATTATAATTACAATAAAATACATTACAGATTCTTAAAGGTCCTTATAATTTTACATATAGGTTACATTACCCTTACTCTTACCAATCCTGAAGAATGAACGTTTAAAGGTGACTAGGCGCTGGATCTTACACATCTTCGTAACTAACGCTGTGTTTGCCGAATGACCCTTCCGTATAGACGTATTTACGCCAAAATAAGACAAGCCTAATTCTCTTTCACGAGTTCACAAATGCAGATGAAAAAATTAAATGTGATGAACAATAATAATAAATAGGAATCTTTGTTCAATTGTAAGAGACCACGATGTCCATCCGCAATGCCTTTCCGTATAGACGTATTTACGCCAAAATAAGACAAGCCTAATTCTCTTTCACGAGTTCACAAATGCAGATGAAAAAATTAAATGTGATGAACAATAATAATAAATAGGAATCTTTGTTCAATTGTAAGAGACCACGATGTCCATCCGCAATGCCCAATTTAATCAAAATTAAAATGGAGAGAGTGGAGGGCAGTATCACAGATTTCTTAATAATTCTTATATAAGATAAGTAATTGTGATATTATAAAACGTTTTTAACAGCACAATATTATCTACTCTACGACGCACTTCTTCTACAAGCGATTCACAGCAGAGCTGTTTCCGCAATAACGAAAGCGGATTGTTGACGGCAGTAATGAAACACAACAATGCCGAGTAAACAGATGACATAACAATTAGTTTCTTAGGTAAAGGAGTAAAGCATTGTTATGCACGTAAGAGTTCATATAAAATCATTTTCCTAACGCTGTTTTTGCCGAATGACCCTTCCGTATAGACGTATTTACGTCAAAATACGCCGATGCAACTTTTGTTAGTGTAACTTATTTCTAGAACGCAAAAATTACAACATGGCAACTGTTTCAAACTTATTTTTTAACGTTTGAACATTTCGACAACGATAAATAATTACCTGTTAGAGGTAGGCCTGTGAAATGTAATATCAAAATAGATCATGAGCATACAATATTGCTCGTGAAATACTATTTGAGTGTTAATAACCACGCGAAACTGTTAGGTTATATACGACAAATTTAACACAAGACCCGTGTGATTAATTGACAATTATGAATAATAACAGGCGACTGTATATAGCCACAGGATTATTATGATCTGCCATAAACAATTTTTTATTTATTTAGTGTTCTGTCTGACGACAGGTCCATATGAACAGGATCCTTCCATCCTTTTCTCGGACTGGGACCTGTTCATATACGTTCTTGGCAGATGATCCAGAAGTGGTTTGCCATTGCCTTCTTCTGTGTGTGAATGGAGTAATTGTTGGGATGCCACGGAGAAACAGGGGAAGCCCCCGGAGGAAAACTCCGTGTTGCCTAATAATTCTCACAAATATAAGAATTATTAATATTAATAGTGATAATATTCTGTATATATTTAACGTTGCAAGTAGTAATAAATAAATAGTGACCTGAATGTAATTCGATCGTGTGGCCGTCTGCGCACGAGCACATAACACAAACTCATAGCTTCATCCCATTTGATTGCTAGATTATAAAATTAATTTACGTCAGTGCAATTGTAATAACACAAGTTCTGTAGCACAGGTTTGTGCAGCATGGAACTCATTGTAATATGTTTGATGCATTGTGCTCTTTAGTAAAATTAGTTAAACTTACCGTGTTTTATAGTCTTCATGTCCGAGCCGTGTGCGATGGTTGTGCTACGGTGCTCGATACAATGCCAACGGAGTACCTACGCGCATGCCCAATCATGCGGTATAATATATCGACAATTTATTTTTTGTTCTCACTGGAATCACTTTAACATTTGGTGACATTTGTTTAAGATGTGTGGGAATACATTTTCTCTAACTCTTTATATATTAAGATTTCTGTCTTCTGGGTTGTTGCGCTGTGTAGTCTGGTAGAAGTTTACAACGCAACAACCCACAAGACAGAAATCTTCATACTCACCGCTGTGAAAACCTCAAAACATACATTCTTTAAATATTATTCAGTTGAAATAAAATTAAAATTCCTCTCTCTCTGTCTCAAACTTTTACTACTTATCACCCTAAAGTCTTCACTCTCACTCTGTCCTTATCACAAGGACGAACGGGCATTGCATGGGGACTTTTTAACAATCAGATGCTCTTTCTGTCTTTCAGAAGAAAATTGTCTCGCTTCTGCTCCATATTTTCTCTTCTGTTTTACAACTGTTGTTTTTCCTAGCTCTTCTTCGGATTCAGAAGGTCAGTATTCACTTTTGGTATAGTTTTCGAAAAAGAAAATGTCTTGGAATTCTATTTTAAATTAATGCTTGATAAAAGTTTTAAGTTTACCAACAATATGTAGACCGTGTAGCTGAAATTAAATCTTGTGGTTAATTCTTCAGTTATATCAGGAACAATTAAGATATCAAGGCTTGAGGACAGCCTTGTCGGAAATCGGCCGGATATTTCAACAAGCCGTTCCTCTGGGATGTTTGGCAACATAGGCCTCGGATTATAATTCTGCATCTGACATTGGCAATTGTGTGTGTATGCGTTATTGTCTATGTAATTAAGTTCAACTGTTGCGCAGAATAGCAAGCAGGCTAAACACTGCCAGAAATGTGTGCATATTTTTGCTTGAGAGCCAAGAGCTCACTGGCTCGTGCAAAAGTAGAAGATAAAAGATCGAATGTTTATTACTTTTGCTTCGTATTTGGGAGGTCCAGAGTTCGTATCTCGGCGCTGAGACTTACAGGTTTTTCGTGGGTTTTCTTATTTTCACCAAGAAAAAATCAGGCGAAATATCTTAAATAGGTCAAAGCACGCGTAGTTTTCGAAGTTATAATTCACAGTCATAACATTCAGAGTAAATAACGAATTAATTTGAAAATGCTTCATTAAACATAGGTGTACCAAGAATCATCAAAGGCCGCGACTTTCGGTGAGAAGATTAAAAAACTGATAATACAGACGTGTGTTTGACAGTGATGTAATGCGAAATAAATATCTTGATTAAAATTGTATTTAATTACTATGTGGAAGAAATTGTGCGAGTATAAAATAAAATTATAGAATTTCGTGAAGTCTATCGTTGTTTTCAGACTCTGTGGTTGTTACAAGTAGACAGAATCTTTAGGCATCTTAGATAGATACTAGTTCTGTTAAAGATGACATTCATAGCCACACTAGTTACAAAAATAATTGTCTCTAAGCTATAATACGAAGAGGAATTGACGTCAGTAACATTTTAATTGATAACAATACACCACACCACCAACAAAGCAGCTTCTTTCAATTCTATTCAAAGAAAAGTTCTTACCGTGCTTGGTGACTGAAGACTGACGAATATTTCTCACTCTACAGCAGAAGTAGTTTAGATTCCTTGTCGATTGCATGGATTGAAAATATTTTGCCAGTGCATCAAATAAACCGGTCAGTTATCTTCATATTCTGCATGTTACGATTATTACCCGAAGAACATTATGAATATTAATGAAATTATTGGTTTGTATGTAGGTTAATTCGATCACGTATGTCACTTTGGCGTTATAGTTTGTAATTATTTCGCCTTTCAGCTCTTTTCTCCTTTACTGTAGCACTCTGGTCAGTTTAAGAGCTGTAACCTCACTGATTGTCTTTTAGCTCGCCACAATCGCTTCTTCTGCTGTCTATAATAGGTGGCGAAATAGCCTCTATCAGTCGGTTGCTGTTATCACCCATTACATAAACTGACTTCGCCTCCAGATAGCAGAACCAAACATCAGGTGGATCGTCTTATCATAATCCATTGGTTTTAGATGAATCTCACGTTGGAGTATTTGTTCTGTATGCGCCCGAGCGCTAGTAAATCGAGAGCGTCTGTGCCGATCTCGACCATTGTGCGTACAGTGTGAAAAGGTTGGGCTCGTATCTGCGGGTTCTAGAGTACCGGACACCAGTCTCTTGTGGAGGTTGGTCCGCCACACAGGTGTGGCAGAGTGGTTGCCGCATACACAAGGCGGCGTAATTTCTCGTTTTTCAACTTTGTGTTACCGTTTATTTGTCAAGGAATGCGTCCAAGTTCGAGGGTCTGTGTAGCAGGTATTTGTGTCCTCCAGTCCGACCTCGTTTGACGGCTGTCAGCATGTAGGGGAAGTGCGGGGAATTGCGCCACCTTAAAGGAAAGTTAAAATTTCTTCTCAAAAACTGAATCTCAGAGAGTAATTTATCATGAAGATAACACGCGTACACTTTTGTATTTATTTCTGCTCTACGTGTGATTTTGTGACAAAGTTTTGCAAAGCACATTTGGCGGACTTCCTCCGCAATATACGGGGTAATTTTGCCATGTGGCGGCATTACATTAGGTGGTGCTATTCCCCGCACTTCTCCTAACCCCATCCGGAACATCAAGATACGTCAACAACCTGTGGTGACAAGGTACCCGACTTATTATTTTGCATTCTAATTATGGCCCGAAACATAAAATTCGATCAAATAGATGATACTGGTAAAATACGAATTCTTTTTATGAGATTATATTTTGTTTAAAATTAATACCAGGAAGAATACTGATAATTATGTTGTCATTAGTTTTCAGTGGTAACCTAATTTCCCTAAAATTAAGCACAATCTAATATTTCGAATACTTGTGGGGTTTGGCAGGGATAATATTAATTAAACTTGAGCTAGTGATGACAACACAAAAGATTATGTCTTTCTGACAGACGTAACAGGAGAGTAATTACATTTAATTTTCTGTGATAGTTTTGAACTATTCAAAGCTCTGATGTATTATCAGTTGAAATTCTGTAAATAGTATGTTCTTGTTTTATGTGGATTCATATTTGTTGGAAGTGCTTCGCGATTTGGTTATTCGTACTCCGTCGTATTATGAAAGGGGCTTTAGGCAAGTGGTAAATATTTTTAGCTGCGCCCATAAGTATGCTACAGGCAGCATCTCACTGTGTCATCACCCGTGTTTACAGATATTGTGTACCTACTGTACCAACTGGCAGAAAGTTAGTTGATCAATGAAATACTGTTATTGAACGGTTTAGGCAGCTTTTGGTTGCGAATCGAAGGAAAATAGTAATGAGTCAACCTGGTATATTTTATCCCTTATTGACGGTAGAATAACACCAGAAATAAATGAATAGAAATGAACAACGCTTATTTTCGTGTTCCCCATATGCACTGGGCTGAACATGATATCCGACAGCACGCAATATGCCAATTATCTGCGTTCTCAGGAGGGTGGGGTCCTTCTATTTATGAAGGAGTTACACTGAACTGTAACATTGATTGGACATACTATGTGCGACGTAACGCAGTTTTGAATGTTTCACTTGCGAAGTCTGTCAGGAAATGAAAGGAACACTTCAGAATTTACGTTGATATTTCTGTTTCCGATAATTAAGCGCTGGGCTGCCCAACAATTGTAGAACTACGCAGAGCGGTGTCCACGTGTCGTTGCTATTGATCCCGGAAGACTGATTCGCTGCATCCATTAGGAAGTCACCAGAAAGATGGCAGCTATGAGTTGATCTCAGTGGGGAGTGCTGAAGTGCGATTGTGTGACTGTCATAGTCTCTAAGCCTTTATACCAGGCGAGTCCTAATCGTGTCTGAACGACTCTCATCTCTGCCCGGAGACCGGTTATCCTGACTGGGTTTTTTTCGTGGTTTTCCTCGGTTCTTCCAGGAAAATGCCAGGATAGTACCTTAAACTAGGCCACGACCGATTCCTTCTACATCAATTCCAATTAATTATTCACTATTTTCCTCTCATTCTATATATAGTCTGAGCTACTGAAAAAGTGTAGTTAAATAAACCACAATAAATAAATATGAACGACTCGACTCTGGTATAAGACAAACTGTTTTATGAAGCAGGTTAGTAACAATTTCTCTTGTGTCTACGTCTCAGTTTATATGCAATAAATATATCTATCCTTAACAAGTTCTCTTTACATTACGATGTCGGGCATCTATCTCGGATTTAAATGTCGTAATCAGTCTAGAGTTCATGAAAACTTGCTTCTTCCGCCATGGGTTATAGACTTCTGTAATATTCTGAAGACCCCAGTGACAGGAAAATATAGGCGATAGAACTTGGAACTGGTAACCAGCAGCAATCATTTCATATACCTGAAATACAGAGAATTGTTATTTAATATATTCTTCAATAAACGAAACTATTTCTTGGTGAAGTGTTTTATAATATTCAGTATTTCGGTTCATACATGTGAGTGAGCTTATCACTTCTTCATTATCAGTATCGATCGGTTTAAAGAGGTTTACGAAAGAGTTATCAATTAATTATAGTTATCGAAGGAAACTTATCCTAGTTTGTTTCTGTAGATAATTATTATGTCATTATTCATACCGCATTGTTATTTGGGGTTTATACATAAACGTTTTTCGGTATACTTACCTTCAGGTGACAATTATCGTCTAAATAATGTTTAATAATGCGATTCATACCTGCACGAAAGCACAGCACATTGCTCTTACAAAATGTAGTTTTTGTAATGATCTTGATAATTATTCTGAGAACAAATTTAAATCTGCTGAACGTTAAAGCAGGTGGTACACATAGTTACCATTACATTATAAAGGGTTGAGGGGA